CACCGAGTCACCGTGCACAAGATACGGGAAGGTAGGAAACTTCTGTTGACACATGCTCGCCAAAATCGCTCGAAAACAACACTTAAATACTTTCCCTCGAATCAAACCTTGGCAGCACGAAAGCCAAATAGTTGCCCTTTAAGTTCACCGAAAAAAATCCCACAAAAGTTGGTTTGTCGAGCAACCAATCCAGCAAGAATTTCAAATTAACGACCGTTCTGAATTCTTGCGTGGAAGGAACATCTTGTATGGCTGAGAGACGGTTAATGCGCGGTCAAACTGGACCCTAGTCCGTTGAGAGAGATTTGACACTGAGAATCTGAGAGCACAAATCGCAACTTGTCAGCGGTAGTACTACATGTACTACTTTAACGACTACTCGCGTTATAGCCATGTTACACCTATGGTACAAAATCTTGGCTGGGATTCACCCCATCACCGAAGACTTCTTTCACAAGACACTATGTTCTATAAAATCTATATGGGCCACGTTGGCATATCACTCCCATCTGATGTCACACCGAATGAAAGACCATCAAGAGCTCCAAACTGTCGTCCTTTCAATCAATTGAAAGTGAATAATGATATCTATAAATATTCTTTTTATCCAAAGACAGTAGTATTGTGAAACAATTTATCTCTAAGCTCTTCTAACATTGTTAATTTAGATACATTTAGATCAAATGCTCTTTCATTTATTAGGTCGGTTTAGCCCGTACTAATTTTATCTTTACGCTATTTATATTATTTTGTTTTTTCCAAGTTTTGTTTTTCTTATATTGTTAAACCTTAAACTGTATAAAAATAATTTAAATTTTATTCTTTGTAATTAGTCCCCCTAGTATAGTTATTACTGTTTTAGGAGTATCTCGATTAAAGATTAATAAAGATTAAAACCCAGTTGCAACAATAGCTATTTGTACGACACATCTCCTTACAAAGAGCAGATTAGGGCAGTAGTTATTTCCTAGTGACAGGAACTGAGATATTTCGAATCATCTGAAAACTGTTATAAAACTGTCACAAAATTTTCACAAGATATGATGAGGAGGGACTTATCACCGCCGCAGTGCAATCGAGTCAGTCAATGTTTCCTTCCATGTCTTGATAAATAAAAAATCATACGTGACTGTTTAAAAACAAAGCGTCGAACCATGCAGTATCTAAAAACAGTCTAATAACAAATTTATCAGATCATATTACCAAAATAATGTTTTTAGTATATTTTCTTTTAATCTCCAGTCCTCAAATATTTATGTCGATGGGGAAGGAACGCAAAAGATGGCTTCTAGTTTTTTTTTTTTTTTTCTCATCCGCGTGTAGATGCCTGGAGTTAGTTAGAAAGTCATTGAAGTGCATACAAACGGACAGACGTCATGAAAAAACATTTTCTGCTTAATAGGTTACTGCATTCTCTTACTTTTGGAGCTCCACCAACGCACTGTGCGCACTAGGGATCCGGTCTCATATTTTATTACATTCCACGCAGCGCCTGAGGGCAAGATGAAGCGAATCCTGTGTTCTGATTGGCTACCCGAGCAGGTAAGATGAGCTCATCTTGCCCGCTCGAGATTACCAGCATTGATCCCGCGCGTGAAAAAAAAATAGAATAAGAACTACGTTCGTAACTCTTAGACAATTTCGGCGACGGAAACGCAAAAAGCGGCAGAAGATAGTTAAGGCAAAGGAAACAGAAACGACTCTCGTGAGTTTGTTGTGCTACAAACACAGTTGGCTTTCTTTCCGGGCTCTCGATCTCGAAGAGAACAAGTCATTCTTAATTCTTAATAAAGCGAAATCTTTTTGCAATATAATAAATCCTTTATTAACCAAGTTTGTTCGGTCAAGATGGCTGGATATTAGCCT